TTCTTTCTTTCTTTCTTTCTTTCTTTCTTTCTTTCTTTCTTTCTTTCCTTCCTTCCTTCCTGCTTGCTTGCTCTTTCTTTCTTTCTTTGTTTCTTTCTCTGCACAAATTCCTTGAGAATATTTTGAGTTTGTAGCTAGGTGAAATTGGAGCTTTCAGTTTGTTTCTGTACAGGTGCAGAGCTTCTGGGTACATATGGGGAAACATTCAGGAGCTTAGTGGCCTTTCTCAGAAGTGGCTGCCCCTTCCTCCAGGGAGTGTGAGTCAATCTCTCCAAGGTTGAGGTCTATATCCAGTAAAGTCATTAGTCTATGGCTCAGATAGGGCTAGCAGGTCCACAATTGCAGGATTGGCCATTTGGTTTGCTGGTAGGCAGCAGTGCTGAGCCCAGGCATATTGGCTATGGGTTTTGCATTGGGAGATCATTTGAGTACCAAATGCTCCTTCTTCTCCCCACCCTTTTCTTTTTTCATTAGCACCTGTGCCACAGGCTACCATGGATGTGCACCTCAATACCCTTCGGAGTCAGGAGAGCAAAAGCAACAGCAGCTCCGGAAGCAGCAGCAGAGACCAGAAAGGTCACTACCTTTGCATGAACAACAATCACAACTAGGATACCATGCTCCATTCTCCATGGGGTGTCACCTTCCTTCCCACAAACCTCACACAGGGCTGTCTCTGTGCCTGTCCCATGGGTGTACCATTACAAGCAATGTCTGTATTGCTGACCCAAGCAGGCAGTGACATTCACCAGGCTAGACATGGTGACCAGAGAGCTCTAGCCTGAGCTCTGGTAAGCAGGACTGAAGAACTGACCGGTTAAGGCACTGTTTTCTCATTGCATTTATAAGCTGACGCCTCAGAGATCACCTGCCAAACACAGGCTGAACCTGACAGCATGTCATACCAGGGTATAGTTAACAACCATTTTCATCTTGGGGACAAGAGCATTGTAGAGTAAAAAGAGATGGCATACTACAGTGCCACATAGGCCATAGCTCAAGCCCATCAGCAATTAGCAGTTCTGTCTCATGTAGCCTTGCCATACCTCAGAACCAACTAGCCAAAGAACAATTAATTTTAGCTGAGTAGGTGCCTTCAGAAATGGCTGGGCATGTCACATGGTTCATAACACCAGTGGATTGTATTGCTTTCTGTCCAACCCATCAGTGAAGGAAAGATTCCTGTCCTGGAGATTCAGAGATGCCAAGACACCCAACAAACACCCAACATTGGACAAATGAGATCCACAGCAGTTTACTGGTCACACATACTCACCTCCCAAGGAGAGGAGCACTGCAGGCCACAGAGGAGCACATGGGGGTTGTAACCAGGAATAGTGTGAACAACCAGGGGCTGTGGGAATAACAGTAACAAGAGGGCGTGGCACCCCTGGGTTCCCACAAGAGGACATGACGGGCTTGTTTGAATAATTCTGTGGGCTTTCAGGGAACTGAAACCTATTACTCAGGGATAAGCAGGAACTGTGCTGGGTCCCTCTGACAAAGAGGGTTGTTTGACTAGGATATCTCATCCACTGGAATAAAATGGGAAGAAAAACTTGTGATAAGGCCACTCAAAACCTTCCCAATCTTACCAGATGTTGGAGCAGCATATAATATTGAGCCTTAATTTCAGGCCGTATAGCATGTGGAGGAATGAATCGTACAGATGATCATGAAATGTTTGAAATTTTACCCCAGAGAGAATAAGCTTTAATGTGGAAGTGAATGATTTTACTTTGAATCACAAGGTTGTTTTCTACTATGAAGGAAAAATGGGGACCTGTGTGTTAAAATAAGTTGTTAAAGAATAATGTGGTTACATTATTACATATCTGGGTTTTTCGTTGTTTTGTTTTTTGTTTTATTGTGATGGAATAACATGTATATCTTGCTATTGTTTGAATAATAAATAATTGGAACTAAGCTAGAACTTACTTTTCTGACATTGTGGAAAAATTAATGTCTTTAAAAACCACAAAAACCTAATACACAGCTATTTAAAATGCAGAGTAAAATATTTTGAAAACTTCTTAAAAATGATTGTCTGTGTTGGCAAATATATAAGAGAATTCTTTATGAGCCCAGAACAATGAGAAATCACAAATCTGGAGAGGCAGGTGAGTGTTATATCCAGAGGCTGATCTGGGTTCACTGGTAATTCACAACTTCCATTTTAAAGTGCCATGTTCTAGAGACAAGAGAAGAAACCTAGGTGAAAAATCAGTTTAGGTAACCAGAATAAGACTTGGATTTTTAAAAGTGACGTGCTCAGTAATATGACAAAACCCTAACCTCCAAGGAAGACAGTAAGGAGACTTGGCAGTCTTGACTTTGCCTTGGATGGAAAGGGGGAAAAGGCTCTCTTAATAACTTATGAACAAAAATGAAACCTCACATTAAGTGTGCAAATTTGCAACTGTGTAGTCTGTTATCTGGACAAAAGCCATGTTGAGAATATAAGGCTAACCAATCTGGTAGTACCCCAGACGCCCAGCAGAGGCAAATTCAGAGCTTAGGTAGAGGAAAATATTTTAACCCCATTTAACCCAGGTCTCACATAATTTTAAGAAAAAAGGTGGTTTGTTTTTGTTTTTTTGAGATGGAGTCTTACTCTGTTCCAGGCTGGAGTGCAGTGGCATGATCTTGGCTCACTGCAACCTCCACTTCCTGGGTTCAAGTGATTCTTCTGCCTCAGTCTCCTTAGTGTTCGGGATACAGGTGCACACCACCACACCCAGCTAATTTTTATATTTTTAGTAGAGACAAGGTTTGACCATGTTGCCTAGGCTAATCTGGAACTCCTGACCTCAGATGATCTGCCTGCCTTGGCCTCCCAAAGTGCTGAGATTATAGGTATAAACCATTGCACCCAACCTTAAGGAAAAAGTTTTTTAAAATCTGATCTCAGAACCCCGTGAAAGCAACCAAGGAAATAAGCCTCCATGAGAAAGATTCCACAAAAACAGTAAGCAATAGGATCAGAGTATAAATAATTTAGATATTGGAATTTTTCATAGAGAATTTTTTTCACTATTTGAGAAGAATATATTTTATTTTTAGTACTGTGGCATAATATGTAACTTTTTATAATAATAACTGTATATATGATGTAGCATAGGTCTTAATTGTATCATTGATCACGGTTATATGTTAAAATAGTTAACATTTTTATGCCGTAACATGAAACATGATGTCATGCACTTTTTCCGCCATTATTCATTTGGAATATATTCTACAACATGACCCAAAACATAAGAACTTGTGACTTATAACTTTTGTCTAAAGCCATAATTGTGCAATAATTTGCTACAGAAAGATTCAATTGACTTCTCTTATGAAACAAGTTTCACTGTATCAGTTCTATTGTTCTGTAAAATATCCTTTAAGTAATATAACATTTTAATGCATTGTGTATAATGTACACACGCATATTGTCTATGTACTGAACACATATTGTATATGATACTGTTATTTCTGTTTGTGAAAAATTTTTATAGCTTTACTATATTTGAGAAGAATAAGGATATTTCTTTTTATTTTTTATTTATTTTAAACTTACCGAATTTTAATGGGAAAATGCTTATGTCATATGTTAAGCAAACACAGCAGGAAACAGTACAGTATTTTGAAAACTATTTAAAACCCACACAAAAAAAAAAAGACTGGAAGAAGACAGTTGCTGTTGCATGATGAGATTATGGTTTTTATTTCAATGATTAAAACATTCCTTTATTAGTTTTACTATGAGGAAAAAATATGTAAGTATAAATGACTAAGTAATAAGATACTGTAATACAATGAACTAGACTTTAAAAAAAGCAAAGCAGATTGTCTAGAAATAAAAATATAATAATTGGAAATAAAAACAGTCTGTGGATTATGCAGCTGATTAGACACACCTGAAGAGAGAATAGTTAACTAGAAGATCTGAAGGCATTATGCAGAATGCAGCACAGAGAGATAAAGAGATGAAAAATATGAAGGAAAAATTGAGAGACATCATCAATAGAATGAGAGTGCCTATTTCCTATGTTTAGCCTTCCCAAGGAAATAATAAAGGATACAGGATAAATATTCAAGAGATAATGCCTGACCACTTTCCAGAATTGATGAAAGTCTCAAATTCAGAAATCCTAACAAATCTTAAAAAGGATAAACAACACCAAAAAGATAAACCCTTAAAACAAGCCAGAAAAAAAAGCTCTACATAAGAATGGCAATTGCATCATAAGTGCATTAGTCAGGTTCTTCAGAGAAACAGAACCTACATATAGATATATATTTTTATATATATATATATAAATAAAAATATATATCTACATATAGATATAGTATATCTTCATATTTCCTTGGGAAGTATAAATATATATATATATATTTATATACAAGTATATATATATTTATATATAAGTATATATATATGTGTGTGTGTGTGTGTGTATATATATATATATATATATATATATATGTCTACATATATAGATAGATAGAGAGAGAAATTGGTTCGTGCAATTATGGAGTCTGAGAAGTTATAAGACTTTGGCGGCCGGGCACGGTGGCTCAAGCCTGTAATCCCAGCACTTTGGGAGGCCGAGGCGGGTGGATCACTAGGTCAAGAGATCGAGACCATCCTGGTCAACATGGTGAAACCCCGTCTCTACTAAAAATACAAAAAATTAGCTGGGCATGGTGATGCGTGCCTGTAATCCCAGCTACTCAGGAGGCTGAGGCAGGAGAATTGCCTGAACCCAGGAGGCGGAGGTTGCGATGAGCCGAGATCGCGCCATTGCACTCCAGCCTGGGTAACATGGGTGAAACTCTGTCTCAAAAAAAAAAAAAAGACTTTGGCAAGCTGGAGACTCAGGAGGGCTGATAGTATGGTCTCATAACCAGGAGACCCATTGTTGTCCATTCCAGTCCAAGTCTGAGTTTAAGGTAGAAGATTAAAGACTGGAGACAGCTTGAAGACAGTCAGGCAGAGAAAGCAAATTCTCCTTCTATCTTTTTGTTCCATTCAGGATTTCAATGCATGGGATGTGGCCCATTCATATTGAGGAGGGCAATGTGTTTTATGCAGTCCACTGATTCAGATGTTTCATATTTGCAAACACCCTCACAGACACATCCTGAGTAATGGGTAACCAAGTATCTGAGCACCTTGTAGCTCAGTCAAGTTGACATGTAAAATTAGCCATCACAATCAGCAAACTTCTTAACAGCAAAAACAGAATAATGTGGAATAATATTGTGAGGTGCTTTCATCCTAAAATAGTATATTTGTAAGAATGAGGATGAAAATAGATTTTTCAGACATCAAAAAACTGTTGTTTCATAGTTCCCAAAGGAATTTCAAAGGCTGAACTCCAGGGGAAAAGGTGAATTATTTCAGAGGAATTGGAAAATGAAAAAAATGTGGAAATATAATGCCATTATATTGAAAACTAATTCTTAAATACTTACTAATTATTTGGATATGTAGTGTCATCATAGGGAGCTTGCTTTCAGTTGATGAAATAAAAACTCTGTGTGTGTGTGTGTGTGTGTGTGTGTGTGTGTGTGTGTGTGTGTGTGTT